AAAGGTAAGGGGTATCGAGTGGCATATTCGAGGAAACTAGCAAACACTGAGAGAGCACAAGGAAGACGATTCCAGTCTAACGGGGTGTACCAAAAGTTCGAAGCTTTTCAGGCAGTTGAAAATAAGGAAATTCCTTATGATAATAATAACTTTCAAGCAAAATCCTTCCAGGAGGAATTGCATTCAGCAAGAAACCGCCAATCCACGTAAACATCTTCCCTCGCTTTTGTAGGGGAGTTCCGACGATTTGCAAAAGCAACGACGACTACACGTCATTTGAATATCGTGTTTTGCTATGAAGGACCTCTAAGAATAGAGGCAAGCATCAATGCTCAAAATGACGGTTTGCTTAAGGATAAGCCAAGAAAAACAACTCAGAATGGTCCACGCTATGTAACTGCTGCATTCCAGGGAAAAGGAATTCCTCGTTGTGCCCCAGATCCAAGATGGCGCGATTATTTCGCTCGAATATGAAAGTAGAGGTGCGAAGTGGACCGATAATGGAGAAAAAAGGACAAAAACCACCAGAATTCTTAAAATATAGGCCCTTTTGGCAGTGGAGGGTTCTAAGATGCGGACAGCGAGATAAGTGATACAGAGCGGAGAGGAAAAAGAAGGCGATGGTGAGAAGCATGGATATGAGCGAGGAAGAATTCGGCCTAAGCCGTCGACTCATGCTCATGGGCGGAACCCCAGCTGCTGGATTGTAGCCCCGTGTGCGACCTAACGAGTTAGCGCGTTTGCTTGGCGATTTCGTGCCAGGAAAAGCGCTACGATCGGTATGCTTGCCAATCCCTCTAACTGTCTTGCACTAGGGCTTCTCTACTGACCTAACCCTTACGCCATGAAATCCCAAAATATCGCCCTTTTGCTAGTTCCCATAGCATAACAGACCATTTTTCGAAATCGACGCATTTATCGAGAAAAGTGTGCAGAGGGAGGAAAGTAGTGAGCCAGAAATTGTTCGGGAATTGGTGCGACCTGTTTCTAAAACGCCGCATTTTCTAGAAACTTAGGCAAATTGTTATTTCTAACCTGTTTCGGAGACGGCCTCAGAGAACGTTCGCATTCCACGAGGTATTTTTGTTATCATAGAACGGTTCTATAATCCGCATGTTCCTCCTTTCCGTTATAAAACTCACTCCGAGCAAGGGACATTTATCGCTAAAGACCAGTTTCCTAGGGTATATCCTAGGCTAACCAAGCCGTCCAACCCCAAGTGACAGTTGACGTTAGTCTTATCCAGGAGAATCAAGTTCTACATTGGGATAACGCAGTGAAGAGGGCTCCCTTCCACTTAAAGGATGGACATTTCATGAATATTTTACTGAAAGACTCTCACTGGCTACGGCCCCCTGTGTGACGTGAAGCTTGCCGTTGCTCCTGATCAGCAAAGTGTCTCTTTTTTGCCCACTCCTGGAGATCAACGCACGCCTAACACAGAAGGCATTCAAATGAGTTTTAGGTTTTCACAGTAATGTAGGCGTGCAGATATCCAATGTAGAACTTGATTCTCCTGGATAAGTCTACTGTCAACTATCACTAGGGATTGGACGGCTTGGTTT